CCCCCCGGGGCGGGGGGGGGGGGAGACAGGAGATTCTAGCCTAGAAGATTCTACCCCAGAGGTACCCAGGCGCCACATTTTCTACTACCCAGAAAAGGCCAGGTCCACAGAGGGGGCCCTATTCAGGTGGGTGACACTATGGAGTGAGTTGCATGGAGGCAGACAGACCCCACCATCCAGGGGATGGGAATGTACATGGTGGGTACGGCTTTGGTTACAGTGCCACATGGTGGGCCCTGTGCCAGGGGGAGGAAGATCCAGTGGACCTGTGGCAGGAAGCCTTTTGTGCGCCCTCTGTGCAGTACGTCTCTAACAGGGCCATCTCCTGCCCTTACCCTCTCTGCAACTGCCCGCACGGACTGGATGCTGGTCCCGTAGAGATTATCATTGAATTGGCCTGCCTCGATGAACTTGTTGTCCTGAATGTCCTTCTCCATTTGTTCTCGAGATACCACAAAGTGGTAATCCTGCCCATCCACCTCATTCTCACGCCGAGGCCGCGTAGTATCTGAAGGAAGAAAGAAAATGCTGGGCAGCCCAAGGAGAATGACAGGCTCCTCTCTAACCTGGGTGCTGAGGCCACTCCAGTGGCAAGATGAGTGGGGAAAGCAGGTGGGAAGAAGTTTGTCTTGCCTACTTGTCCTCTAACCTCAACTCTCATACACAAGGGGCTATTTCTTTCAGGTTCAACTGGACCAGAAAGGTGGGGTTTTTCAGATGAAGGCTCGACAGGGATGCCAGAGGTGGTACAGGAGCCAGTGAACATGACAAGCTACCCAGTGGGCCATGCTGACCCACTTGGGGGCTGGGCCCAGAGCTTGTCCAATGATTCCTAACCATTGGCACTCAACCATTTCCCAAAGGAGCGAGCAGGCTGCTCTGAGGTCTTAGTCCTCCCAACCCCATCAGCTTTGGGGGAATCTAGTGCTGCCTAATCTCTGCTAGGGTATTCAATGCACCCTTTCCATAATACATCAGATCAACAAATCACAGGGCACCAACACCAATACCCACAGTCTTCCTGGGCTCTTACGTGGCACACAGGATCCAAACTTATGTGGGAACTCTGAGATCAGGTCATCGTTGACTCTGTCCTTCATTGGGCCCAGGATGATCACGGGCCTTGCATAGTGAACTGGAGAGAGAGCGCATGAAGATAGTGAGTGAGGCCCCGACTGGACAGCCTATTCTACCTGCAAGTCTGCCCAGAACACTGAGGCTTGGAGCCACCACTCAGGCAGGGCAGTGTCCACAGCCATTCACTGGCTTTTAACTACAAAGACATCAAAGAGCCTTTACTTTGAGAATATCTAAGTCCGAGGTACCTCCCCTTCCATCAGATTCAGGAGAAATCTCTGCATGGGCACCAGCAGCTGATCAGGGCTCTTTTAGAGCAGCCACCGAAGGGACATGACCAGGACTTCCATTTTAGCAGCGGCCACAGCCACTGAAATCTCCCTCTGCCATTCTTGTAAATCCGCCCTACCCTTTGGAAGGCACCCTGGCAGCGAGCACAGGTGAGGCGGGGGTGGGGGTGGGGGTGTGCACACTGGAAGGCCACCCTATCTCTAACAAAGGAAGAAGGGGAAGAGGACGAGACCCCAGGGGCTACATGTGCCCTCCAGCTCCCCTACACTCTTCCCTGTCACCATTGTGTTGGGCCCCATATCTGCCAAGACTGGTTAGAAGGCAAGATTCTCAGAAAATAGCTTACTTTCTTGCCGAGTCACTGGCTCATATGACAAAATAGTATCCTCTTGTCCTTCTGCAACAAAAAGGGAGACATGTTAACACTCCCTAATCTGCTTCCCCACATCCTTATCTTCCTACAAACACTCACATCACTCCTACCTGTGTCAAAACAACCTGGTCAAGTTGTGCCTGCTCATACCTGACCCATGGGTCTGTCTGCTTCCCGTTGGCAAAAAAAGCACAGGAAGCCCTCACCACCCGGGCAGAAGCCAGTCTTCTTGTTCAGCAAAATATAGCTAAGCAGAGGCGTGACCCAGAAATCATGAAGCCTGCACCAGAAACCACCCCAAGTTTTCAGGAACTGTTCTTAAGGACAGTCACCTGTGCTCAGTTGCCCTCTTGCTCTGATAAGAATTACAGGGAAGCTTCAACTGGTCAAGACACACTACTCCTGTCCCTGTCTCTGCAGGTCCCCAGAGCTGCAGCCTAACTTTGGCCTTTTAAGGGTCTATCTATTGCCCCATTCACTGGAAGAAGCATCCAGAAAAATGGCATAAGACTGGGGTAAGGTCCCCAGTGCCCTTTAAGACCATGCTGAGGCCTGCACTCTCCTCACTGTATCCTAGTAATGAGCTTTTCCCAAAACAGTTGCCAAGTCACTGGGTGCTGAGTGCCTGGAGGTGCCAAAGCAGCTGGCGGCAGTGCCAGGGAAGGCAGCAAAGCTTGCATCAAGCCCAGGATGCCTGCTCACAGGCTTCCTCTGAGCTGAAGACTCCTGGGCAGATTTTCCAAGGCCTCTAGCCACAACTGCCAAGAGGCCAGTGCACCCAAAGTTCATGGAGTTTGGTCTGTGGCTTCTCTAGCTTAGTCACAGAACCTCTGAAGGCAAATGGGACAGGTACCTGATCATTTAACCCACTAAAAGGCAAGGACACCAAGCCTTAACCCAGGAGGGCCTGGTGACCTGGCAAGGCAATTCAGGACACTATCCCACAGGAGCCATCTTTTTTTTTGGTCTTTGAGCAAATATGTAAAATTGGCAGCATCTACAGCCCATAATGTCCCATGGCAGGGATTTCCTCACTGGCAGCTCACCCTTCCCAGGGCCCCAGGGATGCTTTAAGTGAGGTCCCTGGCAGGACAGCAGGCTTCTAATCTCCTTTAATCCGCGGCTTGAAGCCCATCCCAGAAGAACAAAATGGCCACAGCATGTCCAGGATCTGAAAGTGCACATGGCTGAAAGAAGCACTAGCTTCTCAACAGAAACGGCAGCCTTGTGATGCTGGAATGAGGGTGGCTGGGACACATGGTGGAGCAACACAACATGGGGGAGAATGACACACACTTACTGGAGCTGCTTTCGCTGTCACTGGTGTTGGATGTCACTCCCTCTGCAAGCCAACAAGAAAGAGACTCCGATTCAGAACACACCCCTGACAGGTCACACGTGGCACAACACTCAAATGCTCCAGGAGCAAGACACTGAGCCGTCAGCCTAGTCAGGCCACAGGAGACCTGCCACATCCAGGCTACCAACTGGGAGGCACAGCTCCAACCCTGAGCCCGGCTACCTCATACTAGTCCACAGAGCCTCTTGGTCTGCCAAGTCCCTCCCTCTACACCACAAGCCCTCCATTCCTTGGCAGCTTCCTCTTCATCTGAATCCAAAGAACTGAAATGGATGGCTTCCAACTCCTATGTCAAAATGTATCTCCCAAGGCTACCAATAGGAAAGGAAAGGCAGTGACAGTAGCAAAGAAAAGTCCAGGGACCAGGCTGCTCTTGAATTTTCCTCCCAGATAGAGGCCCCAAAATACAGAACTGTGTGGTGCTCCTAAATGATAAGGCCAAGCACTGGGCAGGCTGCGCAGTCACCAGGTAACAATACTTTGACCACTTGGTGGGACCAGCAGCTCTCCTGCCACCACTACCTAGAAGGGAGGGTGTGGCCTCAGTGGTGAGGGGTGCTCCTCCATCCACCCGACAGACGTGGCAAAATACAGACAACAAAGCACACCTGGAGGACAAGACGCCTCTCCTGTCTCAGAGCCTTGAGACCTGCCCACATCCGGGCATGGGCGAAGAGGCACACACACAGGAGGCACAAGGCAGTCTGGCCCAAACAAAGCCCACCCACCACTCCCCAGACAACAGGCAAATGAAGATGAAACATGGACACAACAAACTATGGAGAGAGACTTTGCTCATTTCAGCCAAGATGACACTGTTCCAGACCGTGATATGCTGTGGCCCCCAGGAAGGACTGGCTGACTCAGCAGCCACAGCTAGTTCCTGAGCAATCCTGAGGAAGCTCCTCCACCTTCTCGCCTTTAGGGCTTACTGAGGGAGAGGGTATGCTCATGGAAGCTGCCTGGCATGGCTGCATGTATGTGCTCCTCTGTGCACAGTGGGGGCACTATGGCCCTGCCATCTGTATCCCTTCATTTTCTACTCTAGAATTATTTTCAGAGAGGAGAGGCCAGTTTAGGGTTCTCCCAAGTTAAAGCACTAGATATAGATGGTCCGCAAATGCTGCTGAAACCCCCTCCAGCTCAGCCCCTTAAAAATGCTCTGTAGAAAGCCAGCCTGCATCTGTTTGCTGAGTTCCTGGACCGGCTGGGAGATCCCAGATGCACACTGGGTAAAGGGCTTCACAGTGCTCCTGTCCCTAGTTAAATAGAGTGAATCAGTTCATTCTCAAGCCCAATACTTTAGTGCTGGGTCACTGGGAGAAGACTCCAACCAGCAGGCATCCCTCACCTCAACAATAGGCTATAGATGAGCTGAGTAATCACCCTGGAGAAGTACTTTTGCCCACCTCACTTATAAGGTGGGATGACAAGGGTTGGGCTCCCCACCACTTCAAGGTATAAAAGGAAAACACAGACATGAATGACAGGCTTTTATTAGGGTACCAGGGACCCAGAGTAGAAGTATGACATTCACAGCCACTTCTACTTCCTCCTACTGTGGCATTAGAGTTCTCACAAATACTGCCCTCCCTTCACCCTTCACCCTCACCCACGTCCCCTACACCCCCAACCCCAGCATCACCATTCATGCCCAGAATACGGTGTGTACGTTTGACTTACTCAGGTTCTTTGCTCCATAATAATCGTCACTTAACCCAGGGAAGTCCTGATTTCACAGACAGCAAGGAAAAAGAGAGTGGTAAGAGGGAGAGAGGGAGGGAGGGAGGA